CTACAAAGAGATGGCCCCATGTTGCCTGGGTTTCAAGAACACCAAAAAACCCCCCGAGACCTGGGCAGCTGAAAAGGAAACTTAATTATATGAATTATTTATGAGAAGTCTGTAAGCTTTCAGTCCTGGCAGTCAGTTTGGTTATCAGGCTCAGCAGCAAAACACTCAGACTAGCTTTGACATTTAATTCTAAAAACCAAGTGGAGTCTGGCTTTCAGTAGCTCTAGTAAAGACTTTTCCCCCCCATAGTTCTCTACTCAGCAAGCATTCTCAGGACTGAAATAGCCGTGGGTACCGCAGGTCATGTAGAGAGTCACTGGCCGTTTAGACTAGGTCTGGGGCTGAATTAGTCATGAGGATTATTATTGGGGTATAATGGCCTGTCTCTCTGTCCTTTGAAGGTTCTCACCCACAATCAAGGCAGGAAATCTAAAGACCGTCCTCCAGAGAAGCCAAAGAAGAAGTCTGAAAGCACCGTCTTCACTGAAGAAGATTTCCAGAAATTTGAGAAGGAATACTTTGGGAAGGCTTAAGCAGCATGAGAAGAACTTGCCATTTCAGCTTCTCAAAAACTGAGTACTTGGAGCATAGAACTGATCCTGTCCTGTTGCCTGAGGTGGGAAGCAAACAATGCCTTTTATTTGCAAACATTTAGATGGCACATCAGCTTGGGAGATCTTGCATCTCTGCAGAGACTTTATTTGTATAGTGTGGGGTGTGATGCTATAGACTTGAGACAGCAGCCCTAGGAATCATCTTGCCTTAAAAGTCCGTTATGTTTCTTGTTACCCGCTTCAATCCTGTACTTCTTATGTTCTTCTGGAAGAACATGACAGATTCTCCATTCAAGCTAGATGTAAAGTCTCTTTTGTGTGGTTCCACTCATTAGCTGAGGGCAACTTAAACTACTGTATCTCAGTGGATAGATCCCCAGGAGGTAGTTCAGAAATGAACTCTGGACCAGGAGTCATCATCAGAACAAGGGAAAGGATATTCCAGGAAGGAGGAAATTTGGACACAGTTTCTCTCTGTATTTAGTGTCATCTCCATCATTGCAAGATGCTGCAAGATGGTTAGTGCTGTAACAACCCTAGAAGTTAATGGCCTTCCTTGCTTTTGTGGTGGAGTGGTGATAATGACAGAGATTAAACGGGTCAGTCCAAGAATAATTTTCTTTAGGCTGTTTTAGAGTTTGATGAAGGTCCTCATGAACGACTGGTGCCTCCTGAGACGGGACGGGGGACATGGCACGGGACACAACCATTTGTAGCCAGCAGCAAGCAAGGACTGCCCGCAGATGCCAGTGGTGGTGTTGTGGGGGTGGGGCAGCGAGCAGCAACTGCCCGCAGAAGCCAGTGACCAATCTCAAGGGGCGTGTGCCCCTCCCCCCCAAGCAACACCTATGAAGGTCCTTTCTGTGATCCATGTTATCACATGTACATGTTTCTTTCTTTTTACTGTGATACTTGGCTCTCCATGGAGTGCTGAGAACAGAATTGAAATGATTCCTCTCTCTCTCTTCTCTGTGGGACTCTTCATGGTCACTCCCACAGCTTAGGTTAAAGCATCATTCATATAGCATATAGCTGAACTTGGATATATCAAGGAGACCAACCACATAAGGTATTGTTGCTGCATAGAAGGGCTCATGATAGGCCTCAGCTTTCTTGTTATGAAACTGGAAGGAGTAGCTAGCTATCTGCCACCTCATCTGGAGATACCAGGCCTGCCCTGGCAGAACGTGGTGATACCACCAGTCTGCTAGATCACATCTTCACACCCAGTGGTTCTGTTGTTATACTCAGGCAGCTGTGCCAGAGTGCAAAGCGTATTCTGGGAGGGCACCAGCTGCCAAATGGAAAAGAGAAGGGGTAGATTTCATAGACATTAGGGCTGGAAGGGACCTCGGAAGATCATTGAGTCCAGCCCGCCACCCAAAGGGCAGGAAGTCAGCTGGTCATAGGATCCCAGCAAAATAAGCATCCAATTTACTCTTGAAGGTGTTCGGTGTAGGTGCTTGAACCACCTCCGATGGCAGGCTATTCCAGACCTTGGGGGCTTGGGGTAGCAGAAGCCTTACTCTGCTCAGGAGAGGTGAAGTAGCTCTGCCAGTGGACTTTAAGGTTCTGACACCTGAGAGGGGCTCTGAGCTTAAGTGCCTCACTTTCACTTATATGACTAGAGTTGTACCAGAAAAATTGTCATAAACCAAGCCTGGGTGAAGGGAGAAAATCTGCCAAACAAATCAATATTATGTTTTATAGATGTTGCAACAAACAATTTGGCCAGCTGGTGGGGGTGTTGCTGCTTCAGACATTCCCATAACCAACCTAAGCTGTGTTTCTGGTGAAATGGTAACTCTTATCACAGCTTGTATCCCTTTACCTTAGCCAATAGGAGCTGTGTTCTGAAAATAGGAAGAATGAGTCACATTCTTAGCCCCATGCCCTCCCTGAGCACCACCAAGATCTTTTTCCCCTACCCAGTCTGCTGCTGAGTTTTCTGCTCCCCACCCAAACTGCTGTACTGCTTCCTGTCCCATGCTCCATGCCTGATCAAAGATGCTTTGCTTTCTGTTCCCTGCCCTATCTACCACTGGTGTTTGTCCCCACCCCAGTCTGCTGTGCACCACACACAAAGGCTGTCCACATCACTTGTGGCACCTATGCTGCAGGTTGGCCACCCCTGTCATAGACTAAATCAGAAATGCGTAAGCTTTCATGAGCCCAAACTTACTTCATCAGGGGCTGTGAAAGGGCTTGCAGAAGGCAAGGTAGAGGTGTACCTTATAAACCAACTGACTACAGGGTATTCAATTAGTCCAGGGTTGAATCACCCTGTGACCCACAGACCAGATCTGGGTGCTGGCACCATGTCATTTGGCCCATGGGGTTGGGGGCCCATAAGGATCCCCACAGGCTGTGACCCTGCATGCTAGATTCATTGCACAGGGCCTGATCCCAGCATACAGGAGTGGCACAAGGCCCCAGGGCCCAATCCCTGCATGCAGGGGCCAGCTGAGGCCACAGGGGGCTCAATACAGCCCACAGACCTGCTCTGTGTGCTTCATCTGGCCCACAGAGCCAAAGGGCTGAGTGCCACTGAATTAGTCCATAAAGTGCATCTCTACCCAGCCTTATACCACAGCATCTTCCTGTTGGCCCTGTTGTCTGTTTGCCTGTAGTATCTTACAGGGAGCAGAGGAGGGTTGGATGGTAAGTCTGGGAAGTTGAGGGGTTTGAACTGGCATTTTGTACTGATGAAATGTAGGCAATTCTGAGAATGAGCATCTGTACAATGTGTGTCACTTGGAAGTTCTACAACAGAATGTGGAAGGGAATCTGGTCACTGGCACACTTCCCCTCTCTTTCTGCCAAAAGGAGAGGGACTAGAGTGGCCCAAAAACTAGTTCCCTATTTCAAGTTTGTTGATACAGAAACAAGAAATTCATGAAGAAAAGAAGTAATTTCCTCCCCCTCCTTTTTTTTTTTTTTAACTAACTTTGAACTTATTTCAAAGAGCAGTTTGCCAGGTGTCAAGAGCCATTTTTAATTTTCAGTGTTGTACAAAACTAGCCCACATTGCTACATACAAAGCAGCAACACTTCTGCCAGTATAACTTAAAAATACTGTATGCCTGGCTGGTTGTTGGGGTGTTTTTGGCTCCCTAATAATTATGGTGCACAACTCTTCATAGAAAAGGGCAAATTGATGACATGGTTCTAAGTTTTCTCAGCCTTACCCTTGCTTCTTGGAAGGCCTACTGCAAATCTTTTGCCCAACAAGACTACCTGTCCTTCTTGTAGACCTTGGGGTGCTTCCCCTCTGCAAAAGATGGAGCAAGCTTTAAGTTGCTGTGATCTATGTGCAGTGGAGGTCAGAATCATGCCTGGGACAGTGTAGGATTATAGCTAGAAGAGTGCTGGGACCAATAAAAATAAGTGTCTGCTGATATTGAGCTGCTGTGAGTGTGATTCATATAGGAAGGCTGTGCTAGTTCAGCATCTAGATTTGGCATTAGCTTACATTAAATTTGTGCAGACATGTGCAAACTAGAGGTGCACCAGTATATCAGTTGTCTCTCTGATCAGCACCAATAAAAGGGGAAATGACATCATCGGCTATCGGCTTTTTTTTTTTACTGTTATAGCCGATAATGTTTACAGATAATTATGCCTTCTAGCTAGGGCCCCCTCTGCCCCGCAGGGCCAGCTTCCCACCCTGCCCCCCCATGCTTGTGTTCCCTTGGGAAACAGCAGGCTTCCCCTTGTAGACAGGCACCATTCTAGCCTGCAGGGAGCACCACACGCACGCATGTGCCTGCATACATGCACGCATGTGCCTGCATACATGCACATGGCGAGAAATACAGCCAGGGAATGTGGAGGGCAGCTCCCACTGGAGTCTATAGGGGAAGGGGTGTGGTGGGGGTGCAGATTGAGGCCCCCACGGTGAAGGAGGGAGAGAGGCAGGGGCTGGGAGTGTTGCCAGCCAGTGCAGTGCATGGCACCCAGGACCAGGATGGAGCCATGGGCAGCTTATGCAGGGGGGACGGGGCAACTTCCAGCCACTGCATACCCATTGAGGGAGGAATGGTAGGCATGTGCATCCCCAGATTTGTGCCTGGGGCAGATGCAGGGCTCTACTCTGCTGCCTTTCCCTTGGGAGCCCCATGCTGGCTGCGCAGCACCTGCCCTCACAGCAGCAGTAAGGGCAGCAAGCTGTGCCCCCCGCTACTGTGTGGGTGGTACAACCCACTGCTGCCAAGCAGGCAGGGAGTGTGCGGCTGGTGTGGAGCTTCCTGGGGCAAAGGCAGCAGAGTGGAGAGCCTGAGCCCAGAGTATACAGCCCGCATCTGCCCGAGTCCCACTCTGCTCTACTCCACTTAAAAGCATCCCTACACTTAAGGCTAAGCTACATTAACTTTGGAGAGTTTACCTCCTTCCCACCCAACTTGTAAGACTGGTTTGCTCCCAATGGGCCAAAGCTCAGGAACGCAGAAGAATGAACTCTGGCCGTTTAAATAAAGCTTCTCAAGAAGGGCTAGCTGTGCAGAGGAAGAGAGGAGTTATTTCATTTCCTAAAGAGAAGACAGGGTAGCTGAATAAGCACGTAAGTTACAGTCAGAACTGAAGCTTTTAGAATGCCATCCCAGGGGAAGTCAAAGCTTGAGACTGGATGCCTGAAGAAACATGCACTGACCAGGAAGGATACAGGGGCAGCCATTTATGTCATGATAACACGTATTAACTGGTAGAACATCGTGTTTCATTGTCCCTGCTAACTGCGCACTTTTTGCCTGCATTGGCTGCTCTCAGCACCACAAGTGTGAAAACCTCTTCAGGCTGCTTTGTTCTAGCAAGTATAAAATAAAGGCCTGGCCCCTAATTTCACTGAGCAGGACATATCAGCAAGTGTTCCTCCCTGTCCCAACGCCACTATCTCTGTAAGCTGAGGGAACAGCTTGTTGGAGGGTGGGGCCTCTGGGCATGTAGGACTATACCATATAAAATAGATGAAGCGTGGAGAGGGTCACACAGGTAAATGACAGCTCTGGAACAGAGAAGGCAGGGTTAGAACTGCCTGTCACCTCTCGCCAGAGCTGTCCTAGGCTAGGACTGACATGCTCACACAAGGAATAGTCGGGGTGGGCATGGAGAAGGGAGCTTCTCAGTAGTTACTCGTTCCATTTGGCCTCTGCTGAGAGCAGCAGAAAGGCAAGAGTCCCAAAAATATCACCTTAAACTTGACAGACAGCCAGCAACAGTTGAACCTGTCCTGCCACATTCCCCTATGCTCCAGCTGTGAGCTGCCACAGAAGTATGAGTGCTGCATGGCCAGTAGTGCATGTTGGATGAGCTCATTGTGTCTAAACTCCTGGCTTTATTCCCAGCTCTGCGACAGTGACCGAGTATGTTGCCGCAGAAAATATAGATAGCTAAACTTGAGGGAGTGCCACCTTACATGCATTTCTCCACCCATATGGTGCAAGAAGGAGAGGGTAGCTAGCTGCTAGTTTAATACAAATGCAAATAGAAGGCCAAAGCACTGACACAGCAGACCTTTCTTGAAAGAGGTTATGCAGCAGAAATACCCTCCCCTCCCAAATGATTAATACTGGTGTAGCCTCCCGCAAACAAGATCCATAAAAATCAGCTCACAGTCTTTTTCACCCCAGTGCCACATGAATGAGAAACAAACTGCTTGATTTGGTGTTGACAGATGCAGGCTTGCCTACACTGATTTGCTCATACCCTTGCTGTGTTAAACTTACTCACTAAGCCTGGGGTGTCATCAATTCCAGATGGCTCTGTGAAAGCCTCTTTGATAAGCAGCAATAACCTGTGTTAGGCTATGTAAGAGAGAGAGAGAGAGAGAGAGTGAAAAATACAGGAACAATGCAGTTATGCAAATCAACAGGACACAATCATGGAGAATACTGAAGGGGCAGAAACAAAAGGTATATGAAAAATGGTAACGGGGAAGACAGATTGAAAAGGCAGCTGCTAAAACTTTCAAGAGCTCCTCAGAAGGCATGTAGGTGCCTAATTTCACTGATACCAATGAGAGGTGCCCAGATACTTGAGGATCTAGTCCCTTTTCCTTTTCAGAAGGGACTTGGGCACTTAGACAACTCTTACTGAAAAAAACTCAAGGGGACTTAGGTGCTTACATAATTAAGTTTCTTTAGAAAATTATAGTCACGGACTATTTAGAGAGAATACATACTAGCACTGTACTGAATGCATAATGGTGTAGAGAAGGTAAAATAGGTGCCTTTCTTTCCCCCCCCCCATTTTTCATAATGCAAGGAAAAAACAAATGTTAACTGAACTGAAACACAAGAAATTTAAAGCCTTAAAAAAAAAAAAAAAAGGAATAATTTTGCATATTACAGATGCAAGTTGTAGAATGCTGTACCAGCTAACAAGTACTGAAGGTAAGAGTTCAGGTGGTTTTCAAAAAGGAAAGGAGAGATTAAATCTCATTTGGGTATCCCAAGCTATGATAACTACAAGACAAAAGAAAAATAAACTCAGGCTTTGGGGCATAAGCCAAGGACTCATCTTTCAAAGCAGGAAAAATATTTTCCTAGTATGAGGGTTGTTCTGTAATTTCCTAGTATGAAGGTTATTCTGTAATTGTTTAATACAGGATTACTTGCATGCTCTTGTATTGTCCCCCTTGCAAATAAAGACCAAAAGTCAGTCCAGCTGCGCCATTATATCCTGAGCACTGCACATATGCTAATTCATGGTCAGCCTCCTCAAAGAATAAGTCTTGAATGGGAGGTGGAGATTATACTCTCCTTTCCAAGCCAAGCCCTGTTGGTCAGAACGGACTCACTCTGGTAGCAGGCAGCATTCAGAAGCTTATGTTTCTGAGGGCTAAGCTGCACCTGCTCTGGGGATCACCGAAGGACTCCCAGCCTCATAGGGGGAAGCTGACACTTTTCTCTAGCTTGAAATCTACTTCATCCAATTTTGGAAAAGGGAGAGAGAGCGGGTGGGGAGTGGGGGGAGCTCAAAGTGAAATGTGAAGTGACTAACCAATACTTTAAGGAGTGATAATGTGACTGCAAGCAAATTATTTCTAAATGCATTTTAGAGCTAGCTATTTTGGGTTTTCAAAGATTTTGTGTGGGTGCATTTGAAAGAATTTGGACGCAACCTACAACAGAGATTTTGACTAGTCAACTTAAAATAGTACTGCCTCACCCATGGAAACTTACTCCCCTATTTATTTATATGACACTTGGCTAAGCAGCTTAAACTGCGCCCGGAGAACTGACAGAAGACAAGCTCCATTAGTCCAGCAGGTGAGACAGACATTAAACCCCCAAACCCTGCCCACAACGCAAACAAAATTTAAAAGAAGAATGTGAGCTGTACCCTACTGAAACGATGTCCTTCACAAGGTACCCAGACGTTGGATAGCTAGAAACAAATTAGTATGCAGAAGACAGCAGAACAATGTTGGTGCTGCCTGGTCTAAGGAGTTAAGATACAGGGAAAGATAAGGAGAAATGGAAAATTCTCAATTAAATGTTGCCCCAGTAAAGGCATTCAGAATTAGGGAAGAGATTGATAACCAATAAACAAATCATTATACAACAGGAGGAGATTCTCCATTATGAGACTAAGTAGGCATAAATCAGGTAGGACCATACTACAAAAAGGTAACCAGTTATGAAATAAGGTGCCAGGAAACAAGTCAAATGAGGTATATTTGCTCAAGCGGTACCTGGACTGCTTTTTGTAGAGTAGATAGAAGATTTTGCTGAGGCAAGAGCTTGGGTTGACAAATTACAGCTTTTCCCTGAAATAGTCTGAGCAGAATATCCTGGATTTGCCTGCTATTAGACCAGCTCAGCAACACTAAGAGGCAGTGTTCATCTCACAAAGGACAGCCTGTCCTTTCAGTGCTATATCTGGGCAGCCTGCCAAAAGGAAAAGCTATTCAGGAGGCTTTATTGTCTCTTCTTCACTCTGCAAAGCTGCATCTAGAGGTCTGGTTTTCCACACAAGGTGCAGGGCTCCATTTGGTTCTTTAGGAGAGAAAGGAAGAGGAGCTTTTTGGTGGTAGTTTACATTTATATTTTGTTCCCCTCACATTTAAAGAGAACAAATGTCAGTACCTGTATCTTTCTAAAAAGAAGTCAAAGAGAAAGCTAGTCACAAACGTACCATGGTAGCCGAACTCAAGCTGTGAGAAAGAAGGCCTACATGTTCACAAGAACATGGTTATATATGAATATTTGACTTGTATTCAGCCAGTGAGTGGAAAGAGACTGGAATAAACAGCAGTGCAATATTGGCACGTGGCCTGAGATACGCGAGCAGAGCCGAGTGGGAGAAGCTTGTGTGTCACCTGCCCACATTATACCGCCTTCTAGTCAGTGTTGCCATTCGCCTCTCGGGAAAATTAATTCAAACTGAAATCTCTCACCCACCCTAGGCAGAGAGGTGTCAAACCAGAAATCAAGAAGATCTTAAGTAAAATAGCACTGGGGGAATCTCCACTATAGCCAAATGTACACAGAAACTTGTATCTGCATAAGGTAACAGGGTAAAGAGTGTATTTAGCTTCATCCATTTCCGTGTTCCTGTCTATTGCTGGGAAATGTAATTGCTCTATGTGTAAACAAGGATACTATTTACACAAGAGATAAGGTAATCATTATGCCAGTCTCTCTCTCTCTAAAAGAGACTATACTTCCCCAAGGTGCTTTTATTTGCATTGGCAAGAGTTGGGTTCATTTGATACTGGGCTCTCTCTACCCAAGAATTTCCATAGAAGTACAAGGAAGTTGTTGATTCACCTGCTATGACAGAGTTTGACTCCCTCTCCTATGTAGAGTGAATTTTAAGGAAACCAAGACTACAAAGAGGTAGACTTGCTTACCAGGCAAGGTGGGTTCCATGGTTCAAGTGAGAGCAAGCCCAGAGTGTCTTCCTTCTCCTCCCTTGCTCTGGCAGGCAGGTTGCTGACCAGTCACCATCAAGAACTTTCCTACTGCCTGAAGTCCCCCTTTCTGTGCTCCTTCAGTCCATTCCTTTTGTTCCAAAGGAATCTTTTCATCTGCATTCCCACTCTGTAAAAGAAAGTCTTTTGTCAAAACCATCTAACATGGAGAGGGCTCTTCAGTCTCCATTAAGCCATTAGAAGCAAGTTACCAGGTCAAGGGATATTCTGATGGGCCTGTGGCTTGGTCTGTAACACAGCAAAAACTAAGTTCTGTATATCTGAACTATTCAGTGGAAAGCTACGCAAGAAAAGGAGCTGAAGAACAATTACTTACTCTACAAAGATTGTTGTATCAAACTGTATGGTGTGTAGATCCCACTGGCATGCCATGTGCACAAGACTCAATTAGCTACTATCATCCACTGGGTTAGCAGAGGCACCCTACATGGTCCTCCTGCTCCTGCAAGAGGGCAACAAGAGTGGAATAGCCAAGACCTTCCTTGAGATGTCCACACCTCAAAGCCCACAGTGATGGAAGTTGGAGCTGTGGATTGACAACAACCCCCTGAAGAGCCATGGTTACTGTAGGGCAACCATTATGTAACCATTCTCCTGTGAACCTCAGTAGGGGTCCTGCTGTAGGTGACTGGCAAGCAGTATCTTCCCTGGATGAGAGGCTGAAGCATAAAAGCTAATCATCCAAATAAGGCTTGTAATACTACTCTCCTGTACTTGGCATCTGCTCTGGCTGCCCAGTCAAGTGCACAGAGTGCAACAGATGTCAGTTGCTGGCTCCATGTGACTACTACTTTCACATCTCCAAGATCAGCACATTTCTGAAGCAGTCCAACAGTGGTGCTTGCATTCTAGGTGAACGTGGGGAGAGGCTCACCAGCCTGCTCATAACAGGCAGCAAGTCACTGAGTGATCCACTTGAAGTAAGATTGTCCATGAGAGGTAGCTAGACTCTATAACAGGTGGGACAGGCTGCATATTCTCAGCAAGTAGGGAACTATGACAATGACAGTAGTTTGTCCCACCTGATCTTGGTTAATATTCTGAGAAACAGTATTGTTATAGGTAGAGTTAAAATTGAAACTCATAGTTTAACCACTACCCTTCAATTCAGGTATCTGCATAAGGGCAGTTAAATATGTTTCCACCCCAAAACAAAGGAGAATGCAAAGCTGCTCAAGAACATGAATGATCTGAGTGGAAAGCCTTTTCCTAGGCAGTTTTGAGAAGAGGAGCGGGGTAGGGTGGAAGAAAATGAGTTCAGGTGAAGTAAGAAAGAAACAGATTGAAAAGAAACCTGACAGCATCATTTCATAGCAAGTGTGTACTCTTGAGAAAAGTCAGAGACTGGTATTTTGGGTTGGGATCCTGGTAGAAAAAAATGGCACCATGAGGGGGGAAACAATTTACAGCTGTTTGATTATTCACATTCAAGAAAGCATGGGGTTTATGTCCTTATACACGAACAGAATTGCTTCAAAGATGCATGACCTCATCATCAAATTTCTTCTCCTAAGTGGAATGTGGTCTACAAGTGTGTAGATGAAATGAGAGACGTGTGCACACGACACTTTAAAGTGGGCTAAATGCTTTTGCACAGTTTTAATGGTGGCGGTGTTTGCATGCCTCGGCAGCATATTGCGCATTAATTCCAGCTGCTGTAGGAAATTCAGTGGCATAATGCGCCTTAAATGACTCCTTCAAGGAGTTTTAGTTTGCTGCCCCAACAGCCGTGGAACAAAGCACTAGGCTTCATGAAGCTCCACAGCTCTGCAGGAAGCCCTGCAGGCAGCCTGGCAGTAGCCCAGGAAGGCAGGCTCCACCCAAGAAAAAGTGGCAAGCCTGATCTTCCCCCACACACCCCCTCCCCCAAAGCCTGCCTGCCTGAGCTGCGTGGGGACACAGTGCTTCCCTCCGTGCCCCCTGGGACCATCCGAGCCGGGTGCCCGTGGGTGGGTGCTCCCTGGTGGGGGGGCCGCCACTGCCACAGAGGGAAGCACCCTGCCCCTCAGCCCAGGGACGACTCTGCCGGATGACAGCTCACCCTTCCCTCCCCACCAGAGAGGCAGGTAAGTCAGCAGGGTGTGCGCGCAACATGGGGGCTTAATCAGCCTTAAATTGAATCAGTGTTTTTTAAAACCTACCACTTCAATTTAGGGCCCCCATTTCATCTACACCCAAATTTTGTCTAGCTGTTCTGGTCAAAAGGAGTAGCAGTGAGAAGATGTAGAAGCAGGCCTCAGGACAAGTGAAGCAGTAAAGATTCTGGCAGAAACCTTGGACACACAACTCCCCAAGAGCATCGTATGTCTCCTACTATAGCAAGTAGGTTTGGTGTCAAGGTTTGGTGTGTGGTTGGAATATGGGATCCGACAGATTTCCATGACAACAATTCATGGCTGGTTATTGTTTTCTTGCTCAAAATTTTGTCAGAAGCTTTGGTACCAGACCTTGCACTGCTGGAAAAGCTGCTTTCCGGTCTACTTTTCTCTCACCTTTGGTACCAAGCAGGGCTCAGTACTTTACCTTTTGCTTATCCCCTAAAGCTTTCCTGTCAGAGATGATATTGGGTTTCTGTTTAGAATAGCCTCCACTTGGTCTGGTTCAAGGTTTGAAGCATTACTTATGACACCAAATCCTGGTGGATTCCAATGGCAAAGATGTCAGCAGTGCCCATGGAAATGTTGTTATTCTTTTGGTTGGTACTGCTTTCTCTGTAGAGGTCTTGAGTGCCACTTGCCTGCTTCATGCCACACTGGATACCAGTGGATACAATCCTTTGACTACTACACACAACTCCAAATATGCCTCACAACTATGCAGAACTTCAGAAAAAACTTAGAAATCAACTCCTTCACTTAACCTACTCCAAAAAAAGATCAGCTGAAGAAGGAAATCAACACTTGCTACAACAACTTAAGAGAGAGAAATCTGGATATCTTCCCAATGCTATAGAAGGGGGGGGGGGGGGGGCGGGGGGGGGGGCTGCCCGGGGAGAGGTGGAGTGACTGCCCTGGGCACCAAAGCAATGGGGTGCCAACAGATGCTGCCCAGCCAGGGTGGGACATGGGACAGTACCACAAGTGGTTCTTTGGAAGGGGGGGGTTGCAGGGGAAAAGTGGCTCCCACCACTGCATGCACTCCTTGGCAAGTTGGGGGGGCATGTGCCCCCCCCCAATCTGTGCGTGGAATGAGGGCAGGCTGCAACTGCGGGGTTTGCCCCAGGCACCAAACTTCATTGTTACTGCACTGTATCTTCCCAAACATTATACAACATATACAAATAGACTACCAAAGATTTTTTACGACATCCATCCAACATAAAAGGAAGAAATAGAACCAATTACTACAGGAACAACTTTCCCAGCTACAAAAACAACCATCAGAGAAACAACACCAATGTTGTACAACATTCCAACCTCAGACCCAATGAAACTGAAGGAACAAGTCAACCCTCAAATATCATCAATCTCTCCCTCCACACACTTACCAAAGCTGAAAAATCTGTCCCTGCTAAAGCCCTTAATTTCTGTCCAGAAAAATGCGCATATAAGATACTACAATGTGGAGAACTAGAAGAATTTTTCCAATGCCTCCATCTCAAGGAATATTTCCACAACCAAAACAAATTAACTTTCAACAACACTTCATCCTGTGACAACATCAAGGAAAAGATTAACACTAAAAAAATCCAAAAAAACCCATCAGATTGTACACCTCACAGTGGATGAAAGTCTAACCTTGACCACTATATTGACTGCTTCAAGGAAAGAATGAACAATGAAATAATCAAAAATACATGCCACCATAACAACCTCTCTTTCTCAGAGAGAAGGACCGTAGAATCTCTAAGATCCAACCACCAAATAGAAATAAAACCAGCAGGTAAAGGAGGAATTATAGTTATCCTTAACTGTGAAGACAATATAAAAGAAGCCAATAGACAACTCTCTGACACCACCTACTACAAAAAAAACTAGAGGAAGATCCAACTCCCATTTTCACTTAAAAACTCAAAGTCACCATCACATCATTTCCAACTGAACTACAAGAGAAACTACAAAACTCGATCCTGCTGCTACCTAATCCATGGACTTTTTACATGCTCCCTAAAATCTACAAACAAGGGAACCCAGGAATACCTATAATATCCAACCACAGGACCCTCACTGAAGAAATATCAGGCTTCATCGAAACCATCCTAAAACCTCTTGTCACCCAAAGACTGAATTTTGTCCAAGACACAACAGACTTTCTACAAAAACTTAAAAACACAGACCACCTTCCCAGCAATACCCTCCTAGCCACTATGGATGTTACCAGTTTATATTCCAATATCCCACACCAGGATAGCATCCAAGCCTTCCTTACATATCTACAAGAGCAAGATTACAAGTCAGAGTACAGACCTAGGTATATTACTGAATGTATGTATACACTTCATCCTCACACACAGCAACTTTTGTTTTAACAACCAACACTGCCTCCAGACCATGGGCACAGCTATGGGCATCAAAATGGCAACCTGAAAGAATAATTCCTCAAGAACTGCACCATCAAACCCATGCTATACCTAAGATACATAGATGACATCATCATCTGGACTGAAAACCTAGTCTCCTATTGATTTGCATCACAAATTCAATAAACATCACCTCTCCATCAGACTCTCTCTTTAATACTCCAGCACCAACATTTCCATTTTAGACACTTTGATCAATATCCAGAATGGTAAAATACAAGCCACTATATACAAGAGAAACCCACGGACCAACATACATATCTGCACAGAACCAGCAATCACCCCTTACACACCAAGAAAGCCGTAACATACAGCCAAGCCTTCAAATACCACTGAATTTGCACCGAGGAAAATACTCATGATTGTCACCTCGCAAATCTCAAAAGGGCTTTCACCAAACAAGGACACTCCTCCAGAGAGATAGGTTGTACTTTTGAAAGTGCCACCCAGATACCACGTGAAGAATTGCTACAGTACAAAAAGAAAATCCCCACAAATCACACACCATTAGTTATGATATACTATCCTTCCCTGGAACCTATGCAGAAAATCCTCAAGCAATTGCAACCCATACTAGAAGACCCAATTCT